CACCTGGCTGAGGAGGAGGGTGACCCTGGAGGTGGCTGCCCAGTCAGCCCTGCACTGTTCCCTCAGGGAAGGAGCGGGAACACAATTTCCAGCCTGGGGACAATGTGGAGGTGTGCGAGGGGGAGCTCATCAACCTGCAAGGCAAGGTCCTCAGCGTGGACGGCAACAAGATCACCATCATGCCCAAGCACGAGGACCTCAAGGTGACGGCACAGGGCTGCCGCGTCTGCTCGCGGCCGGCTGTGTGGGCTCAGGCAGTGGTTTCTGTCCCTCGACTGTTGGTTTTGTGTCTGCTTGTGCTGACGGTCTGCTGAGGGGATTCAGACCTGTTTTCTGTGACGGGATTCTGTCTGGTTGTTTCTCAGGCCTGATCCCACCTGCCTGTGGGGGGTTTTGTGAGTACATGCTGTGGTCTGGGCTGTCCTGCTCATGAGGAAGGACAGCCTGATAGTGACGTGCACCCTGTCTGTGTGAGACTTGAAAGTAGAGGGAGATGGCATCCAAGGGAGCCCCTTCTTCTTTGGGCCTTTGTGGGGCAACGATCCCAGGGCTCTGCACATACTAGATAAATATCCTTAGCCTCACCCCAACCCCTCACTGATGGCTTCTACCACTGATTCCTATTCTTTATGTATGGTGGTCTGTCCATCGTGTGTGTGTGTGTGTGTGTGTGTGTGTGTGTGTGTGTGTGTGTGTGTGTGTGTGTGTGTGTGTGTGTGTGTTCGTTCGTTCAGACCTGTGTCGTTTCCTCCCCCCCTTTGTTTGTTTTTTTAAGATTCATTTATTTTATTATGTATACAGTATTCTGTCTGCATGTATGCTTCCAGGCCAGAAGAGGGCACCAGATCTCATTACAGATGGTTCTAAGCCACCATGTGGTTGCTGGAACTTGAACTCAGGACCTCTAAAGAGCAGTCAGTGCTCTTAACCTCTGAGCCATCCCCCCAGCCCCTTTTTTTAACTTTCTGAGTCAGGGACTTGCTAAATTATCCAACCAGTCTTGAACTTATGTCCTTCCTGCCTCATCCTCGATAGTAGCTGACTGGCTTGTAGTCACTAGGTCCCCTTTATATTATAGGCTGTTTCCTTGCGTGTTGTTGAAGGCCTGACTTTGTGTCTGTCATGCCATTGTCTGTCTGTCTTGGTTGTTTCTGAGGAGCAGTATGTCTCGGTCTCATTGGGTTAGGGTGTGACTATGGAGTGAACTTGGCCAGCGCCTGCTGTCAGTCACAGACATGCCTGCGTGTGTGCCGAGTTATTGGTGTCCGCCCGTACGCAGTATTTGGGCTAGGGAATGGCATTAAAAGACTGGTCCAAGAAAGTTCCGTGTATTTGAGGATAGGCTGCCTCTGGGTTCAGGCATGTGTGTGTGGTTCACCAGCTGGCCCTCTCTGTGGTGGAGCGTAGTCCAGCTCAGAGTCCCACCTCGGGCAGCTGTCTCTGGAGGAGCCATGCGAGTGTCTCAGATGGCCTCCAGTGGGTAGTGGGTGGTGGCCAGGCTGCAGTTAGGCCTGAGGTGAGGGGCTGGTGATTTGTGGTTTCTCTCACGTACTCATTGTCTCCGTGGCCAAATCTTCAGGACATGCTTGAGTTCCCAGCCCAGGAACTTCGGAAGTACTTCAAGATGGGGGACCATGTAAAGGTGATTGCTGGCCGATTCGAGGGAGACACAGGTCTCATTGTGCGGGTGGAGGAAAACTTCGTCATTCTCTTCTCGGATCTCACCATGCATGAGGTAAGTGCCTGGAAGAGCATGGCAGAGGCCTCGGGACTGAGGAGACCCGGTAGGGAAATTCCCGGAGCCTGCCTCACCCTTCCACCGTTTCCACAGCTGAAGGTGCTTCCCCGGGACCTGCAGCTCTGCTCAGAGACAGCGTCAGGTGTGGATGTCGGGGGCCAGCATGAGTGGGGTGAGCTGGTGCAGCTGGATCCCCGCACTGTGGGTGTCATCGTGCGGCTAGAGCGAGAGACCTTCCAGGTGTGTCTTTATGCTCCTGTCCCGAGTCCCACATCCCAGGAGGTGGTAGAGCGTGGTGACCGAGGTCACAAATTGTGCTGGGTTATAGGCCTGGTAAGACCCTGACGTCTGTCTGTAATGCTGGCAGGTGGCCTGTCATTTCTCCTGTCCGCTGAGAAGTTGAATATATGCCCCAGTGTCTGGTGCCTGTTTTGCAAAGATGTCATGTGCAGCTGCCACACCTCTGCCCTCCCCCACTCTCCACCCCATGTGTGCGTTAGCAAACTAGTCCCTAGGACCCTGAGTCTGTGTCAGTTCTGTTCTCTACACTATGTGACCCTGACCTTGTTTGTCCCCTCCGGGCCACGGTAGGGTAGGAATTGTGATTGTATTCCTCTCAGAGGGAAGTGTGTGAAAGGTTAGCAGGGTGGGTAATCAGTGGACTCCTCCTCTCATGCCCCTGGTGCTCAGCCGGGAAGGGAGTCTCCTCCCAGAGAGCCTTTGGTTTTCACACGCAGCCGAGGATGAGTGTCTCAATTATAGACATTATGTGGTGTTGGGCATCAAACAGAGCTTCATGCATGCTAAGACAGCACTCTGAACTGAGCTGCATCCCAACCCTCCAAAGGATTTTTTGGAATGATCTAGAATATTTGCAGCTGACCTAGTACCTGGTGGTTGGTACTCTCTGACTTCGCTCCGCAGTCATGCAGCCAGGATGCTGCATAGGGCTCAGGGTCTCAGGATTGTCTCCCCCAAGGAGGAGACATCTCACCTCAGACCACCTCATCCCCGTTCACCCTCTGCTCCTCCCCCCCCCCCCAAGGTTCTGAACATGCATGGGAAGGTGGTGACTGTCAGGCACCAGGCGGTGACTCAGAAAAAGGACAACCGCTTTGCTGTGGCCCTAGACTCAGATCAGAACAACATCCATGTGAAGGACATTGTCAAGGTCATCGATGGCCCCCACTCAGTAAGTGTCAGCACTGCTCTCTGACCGAGTCTAAAAAAGGTTCCGGTGGGGTTTGCCTTGCCCAGCATGCTAACCACCGCACCTTCTGCCCAGGGCCGAGAAGGTGAGATCCGCCATCTGTATCGAAGCTTTGCCTTCCTGCATTGCAAGAAGCTGGTAGAGAATGGTGGGATGTTTGTCTGCAAGGCACGGCACCTGGTGTTGGCTGGGGGCTCCAAGGTGAGACCATCAGGGCCTCAGAGCCACGGCCAGGCTGGTTGGGACTAGGAGTAGGCATTACTGACAAGCCTAGGGAAGGGAGAAAGGTTTCTTTGGGATTTTGAAGTGCTTTCCTGTCATTTGCCGCTCACTTTGGTGGGTTGCATACTGGATCCTAGACACCCTGGGTCACTCAAAGGAGACACAGTCTCCACCCTCCTGGAGCCAAGCAAGACTGCAGAGCTCAGGTGAAAGTGAGGTGTGTGGCGGGCTCTCACTGTCACGGTTTCCTTTCCTGAATGATGGTACAATGTACAGACAATGGAAGGGACCTGCTGATTGGTACAGAGGAGAGGCCTTGCATGTTAACAGCAGAGAGCAGGGTGACGGAATGCAGAGCCCCCGTGTAACTCAGGGACTGCCATTGCCCAGGCTCTGAGACAGGACTGGTAGGAAAGATGTGCAGAACCAGATAAGGGCAAGGGAGTCTGAAGGAAGACGAGAGGGCTTGCGCCTGCAGTGCCGCATTTGGGAGAGAGCAGGAGGCAGCTTAGCTTAAGGCCACTCTTGGCTACATAGGGAATGCACGGCCAGCATGAGCTACATAAGGCCTTGTCTCAAAAATAGAAGTAAAAAATAAGGAAATCAGGACTAACAGGTGACCCCAGTGCCTGCAGACAAGATGATTTTTACCTGTGGTTTGTGTTTTTGTATCACTAGGGACTTAAATTTCTGACTCATTTTGGTTAAGGTGCATATTGGCGAGGGGGAGACCCAGGCCTCTTGATGGAGAGGCCTACAGAGGTAGGGGGGTGGCATCTCCTCCCTAGGAGATGGGGGTTTGTCCCTGGAAGGCGGAGGCGTGGTCGCGGGGCTGCTGCCCGCAGGGTCCAGCCCAGTCATTGTGGGGCGGGGCTGCAGGCAGGCTTCCACCTGTCTCCTACCTGGCTGCTCACTGTTGTCCCTCTCTCAGCCCCGGGATGTGACCAACTTAACTGTTGGTGGCTTCACTCCTATGAGCCCCCGGATCAGCAGTCCCATGCACCCCAGTGGTGAAGGTGAGATGGGGTCAGAGTTCAGAGCTAGAATAGGGGGAGCCTTGAGTGTTCAACTTGGTGGCCAGAGTAGAGTCAGGGAGGACCCCAAGGTTAGGAGTGGGTGGAGGAGGCCCCTGACCCCCTTGGGGCAGCGGAAGCTTGCAGAGAGAAGTTTTAAGGGTGTCCTGGCTGTGGGTACAGTGTAAGAGGGAAAGGTGTTAGTTTCTGGGGCCCCACAACATCCTTCTCCCCTACAGGCCAGCATGGTGGCTTTGGTAGCCCAGGTGGTGGCATGAGCAGGGGTCGTGGGCGAAGAGATAACGAGCTCATAGGCCAGACTGTGCGTATCTCCCAGGGACCCTACAAAGGTGAGCCATGGTGCGCGGGGAGCAGGGGCTGTGCTGGAGAGTCCCACCCACCTGACTGCCTAATTCCTCACAGGCTACATCGGTGTGGTGAAGGATGCCACGGAATCCACGGCCCGAGTGGAACTGCACTCTACCTGCCAGACCATTTCTGTAGACCGCCAGCGGCTCACCACGGTGTATGTCTGGGCTTAGGAAAGACCAGTGTGGGGCCGATGGCTGGGCCTAGGGAGGGCTAACATGGGCATGCTGGTAGGCATCCCACTCACCCCCGTTCTGTGTCCACAGGGATTCCCAGCGTCCAGGTGGCATGACCTCCACCTATGGACGGACACCCATGTACGGCTCTCAGACACCCATGTATGGCTCTGGCTCCCGAACCCCCATGTATGGTTCCCAGACACCTTTGCAGGATGGTGAGTATGTGCACACCGCTAGGGTGAAGCAGAAGCTCGGCAGGTAGGAGAGAATAGAGAGAGAGCACGCTGCTTTACTTTATCCAGGTAGCCGCACTCCACACTATGGCTCGCAGACGCCCCTGCATGATGGTAGCCGCACTCCTGCTCAGAGTGGGGCCTGGGACCCCAACAACCCGAATACGCCTTCCAGGTGAGGGTCACTTTTAAGATGGGCCGTGTCGGCCAGGTTATGACTGGTTGCTTGGATATTGTGGTGACTGCTTCAAGCTAGGAATACAAACGTCCTGTCCACATCAGCAGCCTCTACATGCAGTTACAACTGTGCTTGGGGACATTGCCGGGTGTGTGATCTTGAGCAGGCAGCCTTGTCCCTCCGCGCCATCGACTAGGCTGTGGCATTGCCATAGCGTCAGGAAAGCCCTTGTCTGGGGCCTCTGTCAGACTGAAGTCGCCTCAGTAGCGGATCCAGTGTGTAGTACGGTTCTTCAAGCATCGTCATGTTTGTTACCGCCGTCATTCTCAACAGACTTCTGTCCCACCAGGGCTGAGGAGGAATACGAGTATGCCTTTGACGACGAGCCCACCCCATCCCCACAGGCATATGGGGGAACCCCGAATCCCCAAACACCCGGCTACCCAGACCCATCATCCCCCCAGGTCAATCCACAGTACAACCCGCAGACACCAGGGACACCGGCCATGTGAGTCCACCAGGGCTGAGCCCGAAAAGCCCTGCACATAGCTGCCCACCGCCCTACCTCCTCCTGACCCTTTCTGTCAGTACTGACACGCCTTTCTTCCGCCTACAGGTACAACACGGACCAGTTCTCCCCCTATGCTGCCCCTTCTCCACAGGGGTCCTACCAGCCCAGCCCCAGCCCCCAAAGTTACCACCAAGTGGCACCAAGCCCAGCAGGCTATCAAAACACTCATTCCCCGGCCAGCTACCACCCTACACCTTCACCCATGGCCTACCAGGTATGCCCATCACAGAAGGCTGTGGACGTCGGTGGCGGGGCCCAGTGACTGTTCCAATGCTCATTCTTCTCTCGGTTCAGGCCAGTCCCAGCCCCAGCCCTGTTGGCTACAGTCCGATGACCCCTGGAGCTCCTTCTCCTGGAGGCTACAACCCACACACACCAGGCTCAGGCATTGAGCAGAGCTCCAGCGACTGGGTAACCACTGATATCCAGGTGAAGGTTCGAGACACCTATCTGGACACACAGGTAGTGGGGCAGACAGGCGTCATCCGCAGTGTCACGGTAAGTGGGGCCCTAGGGGGTGGGCAAGGCCCCCCAACTTGGTAGTTACTTATATTTGTTTGTGCTGTGCTATGGAATGAACCCTAGGCCGCATACATGCTAGGCTAGTGAGCTATAGCCCCAACTTGCTTATAGTTTTAGTTTTAACTTTCAGACTGTAATGTCTGGTGTGCTGTGAAGTATAGACAGATATGGAAGGCTGAGGTAGCTGTGACTTCAGGGGATGGGCAATTCTGCCTCATGTGCTCTCGGCTCAGGCCTAGGTACCTGGCACACTTTGTGTCTCAGCTTTGGAAAGATGAGTGGCCCCTGGACAAGGCACATGCCACCCCTGTCAACCATTCGGTCTTGTCTGGCTAGTCCTTCAACCTTCAGAAGGCAGCTGTTGTCTCAGCCTGTGTCTTAGGGACCTGGGAGGTCTTCATGTTACCTACTTGTTGCCTAAAAGTGGAATGTCAACCCCAGCTTGGGTAACAAAGTCTGTATGGGGGCTGAGGGTGCTCAGTGCATTTGTTTAACTTTTGAGGGGAAAGCACCTGTATTTTCCTCTGGAGCCCAACATTCTGTAGGAAGGGTTTGCACATCGTTGACCCTCCGTAGATGTTCTGACAGGATTGATCAGACACCAGGGACCAATGCACCTTGTATTGGGGTAGAGAGATACGTCCCCAGAGTGGGCACAATTGGCATGAGAAGCCTAAAAGACTTGGGGAACAGGGTCAACTTAGGAGGCGCCATAGCCAACCTTGGGGAATCAGGGAGGACTTTCTGGAGGAGACATTGAAGCTGAGAACTGAAGGGGGAATATGTGTAAATCAAGAGCTGGGAGTGGAGGCGCAGCCTTTAATTCTGCACTCGGGAGGGAGAGGCACATAGACCTCTGAGTGTGAGGCCAGCCCTGTCTCAGAAAAAAAAAAAACAAAAAAAAAAAAACCAAACATAACCATAACAAAAAGCAAGCCAAGCAAAAATGTGCATAGGCTGAAGTGTACTCATTGTGGCCACACTAGAAATGCCTAGGTGGGCTGGTGGTGGTGCATACCTCTAGTCCTGGGTGAATCTGTGGGTTCAAGGCCAGGGCTACACACAGAACCGTCTTGAAAAACAACAAAAGAAATACCCAGGGTGAGGGAAGGTGAGGCATGAGGCTGGAAGAGTGGCTGGGCTAGATCACAGAGCAGCCTGGGCAGTGTCCAGAGGGCACTGAGGAGCCATGGAGGACTCACCAGGAGAGTGGGAGGACCAGATCTGTCACGTGCACTTGTTTCCCGTATTGCAGTAGCGTGGATGGACGGGATGGTGACACTGGTGTCAAGAGGGACAGGGTGCTCTGGCAGGGCAATGGGGAAGGCAGGTGACTGACAGAGCAGGAGGGTGGCGACCATGACCCTGAGCTTGGTTAGAGCCAGGGCTGGCCCTGTGACCAGGGTTCCAGAGATGAGACTGGTTTTAACACGAAGAGTCAAATTTGTGAGAAGTTATCTCTGTGTGTGTAGACCTGGCTGTTCTGGAACTCAGAGATCTGCCTACCTCTGTTTTCTAAGTGCAGGGATTAAAGGCATGGGCCACCAGTTTAAGTTTTCTCTTTTTTGATTTACTTTTGTGTTTTTGTTTGTCTTGTTTTGTCTTTTGAGACAAGGTCTCACTATGTAGCCATTGGTGGCACACACCTTTAATCCTAGCACTCAGGCAGGCAGATCTCCCGAGTTCCAGACCAGCCTGACTACACAGAGGACCCCTCTCTTGGGGGTGGGCGGAACAGATAAAAATAAACAAAAAAAGATGTAGACCAGGCTGGCCTGGAATCCAGAGAGAGCCTCTTGCCTCTGTCCCATCTCCAAGTGCTGGGATTAAGGTATGTGCTACAACACCTGGCTCTCTTTTGACCTGATTTAGCTGCGTTTTAGTGGGTCCCTCAGTTGCCCTAACTGTTCACTCTGATGGTCCGTGGTGCCTGGAAGACAGGCTCCAGATTGCATTGACAGCAGGACAGGCTGAGCAGGCTATTCTCCCTCTGCAGGGAGGCATGTGCTCCGTGTACCTGAAAGACAGTGAGAAGGTGGTCAGCATTTCCAGTGAGCACTTGGAGCCCATCACCCCCACCAAGAACAACAAGGTAGGGTGGGCCCTTGGGAGCACAAAGCAGGGCATGGCAGCTGCTGGTGGGCCTGACACTCCCTGTTGCCTCCAGGTGAAAGTGATTCTGGGTGAGGACCGAGAGGCCACCGGGGTCCTACTGAGCATTGATGGTGAGGATGGCATCATCCGAATGGACCTGGAAGACCAGCAGATTAAGATCCTGAACCTCCGCTTCCTAGGGAAGCTCCTGGAGGCCTGAAGTGTGCAGTGCAGGCGTGGGACCAGCAGTCCACCCTCCGGCCTTGCTTGGCCCGGCCTGGAACCCTGAATCTGGAGCAAGCCAGGGGGTTCCTTTTCCTCCTTCCCTGATCTCTAGACATCAGTAGAGTCTGAGAAAGGCTCCCGCCCTCTTTCTGCTGCCTCAGCTTGCCTTTGTGTTCAGGTCTTTCAATAAAGAGAAGCTGTTTGAAGAGAGAGAGAGTGTGTGTGTGTGTGTGTGTGTGTTGGTGGGAAGGGTTGTCTTGTTTAAGTGTAGTTATTAAGTCGGTGTGACGATAACTGGATTCTCAGTTTCCCCATCTAGAAAATGAAAATAATGCCTCTGGGACTCCACAGGGCTCTTCAGAGGATGTACAAGACAGGAGAAAGGATTACAGCTGGGCCTTGTAGTTCAGGCCTGTCATTCAAGCTGCTCAGAAGACTGGGAGAGGAGGGTCAACGGCATAGCCTGTGCAGGCAGGACAGCAGGTCCCCTTAGTGTAGCTGTTCTCAACCTGTGGTCCTGACCCTTTGGGGACCACAGGGGCCACATATCAGACATCCTGCATAGTGGATATTTATATTATGATTCATAACAAAATTACAATTATGAAGTATCAATGAAGATAATTTTATGGTTGGGGTCACGAGAACATGTGTTAAGGGTCACAGCATTGGGAAGGTGGAGTACCACTGCCTTAGTGGCTAGTGAACATCTTTGATCCCAGCACTCAGGAGGCAGATCTCTGACTTCGAGGCCATTCTGGTCTACGTAGTTCCAGGACAGCCAGAGCTACATAGTGAGACCCTGGGGTGGGGGTGAAGAACTTGGGACTTAGAGGTAATTCAGCTGGGACACAGTGTGTAAAAACTAACCTAATTAAGATTGAGTTTGAGGCTAACCTGGTCTACAGAGCGAGTTCCAGGACAGACTCCAAAGCCACAGAGAAACACTGGAAAAACAAAAACAAGAAAAAAAGTTTGGACTGCTCAGAAGTTACGACGCATGGTGCAGCCCTGGGAAACGTGAGGGAGAGAGTCAAGATGTGGAGAGAGTCTGGCTGCGGAGCCTGTGGTGGCTGAGCTCTCTGGTGATGGGCTGCCTCATGCTAACTGCTCTCCACCATGCATGGTGGGTGGCCTGAGTTCACACCATGAAAGGACAGAACTGACCGCAGGGTGCCCTCTGACCTCCACGTGCACGCAGGGTTCTCTCCTAGGTAAATAAACCTTAGGTAGGACACCTGGTCAGGACACAGGGCCTGCCAGGCCCGCATGGCATCCCCAGGAAGTACCTCAGTCAAACTGGGTGGAGTCCAGAGGGAATTTACTCAATGGACAGCCCCCGAGTACCAGAAGCAATCGAAGGACAGCCAGAAGATGAAGAGCTGAAACAATTAACTTATACTGGATATGTAATTTAAACTTTCTAGAGTTTTATGATTTCCTGAAGACAGCGGCCATATGAGCCATACATTACATCTTGGGGCCGAGTGAAGATCAACTCAGTGTTCCCCGGGGCTTGTCATTTCTCCTGTGCTGTGGTCATGTTCCCAGCCTCCTCAGGGGATTCCAAGTCACCACTGAACTGTCTCCAGCCCTACAGCCTTACCTCAAATGCGGGGAGCAGTGAACCCGGGATTGCTTCAGGACTCGGGAAGGAATGAGCGTCCTAACAGCATTAGGCTTTGTACCTTGCTCTTTTCCATATTTGATAGGCCCAAGTCTTCACAAATGGAAGCATATTATAAAATATTTCCGGCATTAAAGACATGCTACTGGTCAGGGTATATGGTAAGCATATGCCTCTGAACTGTAGCACTTGGGAGGAGAGGGCAGGAGGATCAGTTCAAGGTCTTCCTCAGCTGTATAGGTCAGCCTGTCTCAAAAAACAACAGCTGGTGAGATTGGTCTGCGGGTGAAGGCACTTCCTATAATGGAAGGAGAAACTCCTGCCCCCACTAGCCAGGTGGTGCACACCTTTAATCCCAGCACTCGGGGCGTTAGAGGCCGGTGGATCTCAGAGTTCTAGCCAGCCTGCTCTACATAGACCCTGTTTCAAAATAAAACTAACTTTAAAAATTCAGATATATCATGAAGACCTATGTCCCCTCCACCCAGTTACAGTATGTAAAGCCAACAAGAGCTCACCATGTCAAGGCAGTGTCCTAACCACTGGCTTAGGGAGACGTTTCCTCCAAGTCACCCATAAGGGAGACAGCTTTGGTTCAGATGAGCCCCATAGTGGAAGGAGAGAGCCGATTCGTGAAAGCGTCTTACGTCAATCTCTACACCCCGTGCACAGTCAAACACGTGTAATTTAACAGAACCCCAATCCATTCCCACCCCAGAAATAGCCGTTTCTCTGAATTCCTTTACCCGACTTTGTATTTTTACTTTGTATTTTTTTAAGTTCAAATGTAAAAATCTGGCTTTTCCCCATTAAAAACTACTTGGGGAACATTCATGGTGTCTTCCTGTACCTCAAATTCACTGATTCCTTACTCTCAGTCAGCACGCACTGTTCCTTTGGGTGAGCGAAGCCAAGTGAGTGGTAGGAGCTCCAGTCCTTTCTAGAAACACATGGTAGAAGGGGTAAGAGGTGATCTGAAGACGCGAGAGAAGACCGGTTCAGTCTCCTGATGCACGTGGAGAAAAAGTGAGGGCTGCCGGTTCAGCTCGCTCTTTGAGCCTCTGTCCGCCTCTGACGATAAAGAATGCCTATGTCCGAGCGACAGGATGGCGGAGGTCTTTAGGGCACCAGGGGGCGTGGTGCCAGGTGACTGGATTCCAATTTCAGTGTGCCTGGGGGCCAGCCTCCCAGGGGCTCCGCCCACACCTTTTTGTCCCTCTCGCCTTGCCGTCCACCCGCCGTAGCTCAGCGGATCCCATTGGTCGCAGTCCCCGCGCGGGGCGGGAGAGAGCGAGCTAGTGGGCGGGGCCGCGCGGCGTCAGCGCAAGATGGCGGCCTCGGCGGCGCTGTTCTCGCGCTTGCGGAGCGGGCTCCGGGTCGGCGCGCGGGGACTGTGCACGCGGCTGGCGCCGCCGCCTCCCCGCGCCCCGGAACAGGTGAGCCGCCCCGGGACCGGCGCCCCGCTTCGGGGCTCCCGCCCAAGTCCTGGGCGTGTGGTGGCCGCCCGGCGAACCTGGAGCCCCGCGTTTTGGGGATGCTCCGGGGCCGCCTGTGCGGACCACGGTTGCTCCCCGGGGCTGGAGCGCGCTGGTCCCGGGTGCATCCTCCGGAGCCCGCGTCTCAGCCGCGCGGGTGCCGCGAGGGGTCACCTGGTCGTGGTGTCCGTGAGCACTCAGGTGACCCTCGGCGGGGAGGGGCCCCAGGGACGCCGGGGTCCCAGGAAGGCTGCAGGGAGCCAGCGCCTTCCGTTGCGACCCAGCCGTTCTGACCCCCGGGTCCACGCTTTCCGTTCCCTAAGTCCCAGACGAGACATCGCCTCGCCCCTGATTCCTCTATTTCATACTCCTCCGTTTGGGGCCCTGGGTGTCCGGATGTCTAACTTCTTCTCCTGTCCCTTGTGTGCCCTCCGTCTCCTTAGTTTGCTCTCCCTGCCATCCCTGCCCTACTCTTCCTGGCTCCAGACCTGCAGTCCTGTTGCCTCCAGGTCTTGGGCAATCCGGCCTGTCAGCCCTCGAACCCCTGCGATCCTCTGGACACTTTAGTTTTGACCCTCTGAGGGGGACCAACCTTTTAACCTAATCCCTCCAGGGACACAATCTTCTGGGGCTCTGTGTGTGTCCACTTCCTGGCCCTTGATCTTGAGTTCTGCTTGGACCAAACTAGAGGTCAGAGAGAGTCTCCTGCTGTTTTTCTCTTAGCTGACCTGGCCTCCCTCCCCTCCCCTCAGGTTGCTGAGATCGCCAGCCGTGGAGGCTCCAAGGCCCAGGGGCCACAGCATCAGCCAGGCTCGGAAGGTCCCAGCTATGCCAAAAAAGTTGCACTCTGGCTTGCTGGTTTGCTTGGGGCCGGTGGGACTGTCAGCATCGTCTATGTCTTTGGTGAGACACATAACCCTGGCTTGTTGGCCCCCAGAACTGTCCTCCCTCAATAGGGCCTTCAACAAGGACACTCTCCTTGGCACTCAAGTCCCCTTCCACCACCTGTACTTAAAGTTCTGCCCTCTAGTTGGTCCCTGTACCTGAATTCAGGAACTAAGGGGACAGTGGGAAGAAAAGGGCTGGCCCAGTGTCTGAAGCTATGTCTCATGTCTCCCTTCATCGGCAAAAGTCTAACCGAGACAGGATTTCTCTGTGTAACAGCCCTGGCTGTCCTGGGAACTCAGTTTGTAGACCAGGCCACAGAGGTCTACCTGCTCTGCCCCCTGAGTGCTAGGACTAAAGGCATTCATAGCCATGCCTGGCTAGCCCACCTGCTCTTAAATATATTGGAATCCCGCCCCTCTCCCCCATTCTCTCTTCCTCCCCTAACCCAGGAGCTGTGCCTCTAGCCAGGTCCCCTCTGATGGGGGAGTCCCAACCCCTCATTTCCTAGCCCTCCCAGACCCAGCAGACTAGACTCCAGTTTCTCTCATCCATCTCTGTCTCCCTTGCAGGAAACAACTCTGTGGATGAAAATGGTACCAAGGTGAGGGCGTTAGACCCAGGGGAGCTAGGGCGCGTTGCTTTGGTTGGTTCAGGCCCCTTTCTAGTCTGAAGTGAGCCTCTCCCTCCCCCCTGGGACCTTTGCCTCCCGAGCTGCGGCTCCTTGGGTGGATGAACTGGGGTCCCTCTGCCAATCCAAACCTTTCCTTTTCTCTCTCAGATCCCTGATGAATTCGACAATGGTGAGTGATTACACAGATTTGGGGTTCCCTGGTGTCCCCGTCTCTGCCACTTCGTTTTGTTTGTTTAGAGTGCTGTTCCTCTATCCTGTTCCCCGACCCCTCCTCCTTTCACGGAGGTGCTACGATTCGATGGCTGGGTGAGGGACATAACAAAAGCCCCTCAGCCCTGGAGCAGATGGTCAGGGACAGATGGGGGCAGGGAGCCCCAGCAGCCCCTCCCAGATACAAGGCTTCCTGGGCCTTAGATCTGGGCATCTGCAGCCCCTGAGCGTTTATGACAGCCTCTTTTTTGTTGGTTTAAAAGTCCTTAAGTCCCTACCGCGCCCCATGCCTCATTTCTATAACAATGTCTCTCAGTGTCTGTACCCCACCCCTTCTCCAAACACACCCCAGGTTCACCAGAGTTTGGTGAGGAGCTTCTGAGGAGCTAGATGGTAGAGTGGCTGGGAATTTTAGCTGGCCCTTCCTAAGAGAAAGTTGGTGGGTCCAGAAAGCGCCCTGTGTGTGTGGTAGGTGTGCAAACAGCGAGTACAAGCATTTACTGTTGCACTGGTTTACCCCAGGCAGGTAAGGGAGTCTGCTTAACTGGACAAATTGCAAATACCGGGTTTGTTTGTTTGTTTGGTTGGTTTTTCTTGTTTATTTTTATTTATTTTTTTGTTTTCTTACTTGTTTTTGAGACAGGGTTTCTCTATATATTCCTGGCTGTCCTGGAACTCACTGTGTAGGCCAGGTTAGCCTCAAACTCACAGAGATCCACTTGTCTCTGGCTCCCAAGTGCTGGGATTAAAGGTGTGCACCACTATCGCCTGCTTCTCACTGGTTTAAGCAAATTACTTAAATTGGGCAGGTAGACCCGGGAGGTCAAAGTGTGTTTACTGGGTTAAAGTGGCTTCAACACTGAGGGAGCCCGATAGATAGATAGATAGATAGATAGATAGATAGATAGATAGATAGATAGAGCTAGATTAGAAATGTCACATTAAGGCATTCCCATTGAAGTCATATGTTCCTTTAGCCAAGAGTGTTCGCTCTGGCCTCTTTTGATGATGATGGTTTTTATTAGGGTGCTGGGGTTGGAGGATTGGTGCTAAAAAGGGTTCTCCCACTCAGCATCCCCAGCCTGGCTTTATTTATTTATTTATTTATTTGTTTGTTTAGGCTTTTTAAGACAGGGTTTCTCTGTAACATCCCTAGCTGTCCTGAGACTAGTTCTGTAGACCAGGCTGGTCTTGAACTCACAGAGACCTGCCTGCCTCTGACTCCCAAGTGCTGGAATTAAAGGAGTGCACTAACACCCCGGCCTAGTTTTGTTTTCAAATTATGTGTATGCATGTATGTAGGAGGGGTGTGCACATGAATGGAGGTGTCCTCAAAGACTAAATAAGAGCCTTAAAATTTTTTTCTTTTTTTAAATTTTAGGACAGAGTCTTACTTCCTATTCTGATTTCAAGTTTGCCATGTAGTCCTGGCTGCCCCTGAACTTGTAAATTCTCCTGCCTTAACCTTCTGAGTAGCTGGGATGGCAGGCCTGTGTGCTGCAACCCAGCCCTGTCCCCACTTCCAACCGGGAGTTCTTGGTTGTCTGGTGTGTTGTGGGTTGCTTTAACAGTGTTCTGAGCATCTGCTCTAAGGTGCTAGATTATGATCATTCAGAATATCTCATGGCTGGGCATGGTGGCGCACGCCTTTAACTCCAGCACTCCGGTGGCAGAGGCAGGTGGATCTCTGTGAGTTCCAGGCCAGGCTGGACTGACAGTCTCCAAAACAATACAGAGAAACCCTGTCTCGAAAAACCAAAAAAAAAAAAAAAAAAAGTTGAGTTCCAAGACAGCCTGGGTTACAAAGAGAACCCTGTCTCAAAAAACAAAAAACCAAAAATCTCCACGAAGCTAGGCACACCTTTAATCCTAGCACTTGGGAGACAGAAACAGAAGGATCTCTTTAAGTTCAGGGCTACATGTTGAGACCATGTGCACACACAAATAAATGTTAAAAAATTTTTCAACATCCTTCAAAACAAGAGCAACAAAAATGTCTGGGGGTGGGGCTTTGTCAAAGGTTTTTTTTTTTTTTTTTTTTTTTTTTTTGGTTTTTCGAAACAGGGTTTCTCTGTATTGTTTTGGAGCCTGTCCTGGAACTCACTCTGTAGACCAGGCTGGCCTCAAACTCACAGAGATCCGCCTGCCTCTTTGTCAAAGGCTTTTAAGCGGACTGAGGTATAGACATTCTGTTTTATACCTGTTGTGGTATGGAGGTATAAGTAATCACAGTCATTGAGTCGAAGGTGATACAAGTATTGCAGGACAATACGTGTCTTTATCTCACCTGGTGGTGTCTGCTGTCTTCTCCATTAGACACACTAGGGTGTGTGCAGACTCGTTTGGGTCTAGTTAGACTGTAAGTCTGGGCTTAAAGCTGGGCTTGCTAGTGCATGCCAGTAATTCAGTACTGGGGAAGTAAAGGCAGTGGGATCAGGGATTCAAGACAAGCCTCAGCCACATGAAGGCTTATCTAAAACAAACAAACAAAAAACAGTAAAACAGGTATTCTTCCCTTAGCCTTCCCACTCTTGGGAGTTTTCTACTCTTCCTTAAGAAACCTATGTTTGTCCTGCAAGTAAAGAAATAAAATAAACTGATCTGTCTGGGAGGTGGAGTAGTGGCTTACTTTGGAATCCCTTTGTGCCTGGTGTTCTAGATCCAATTTTGGTTCAGCAGTTGCGCCGGACATACAAATATTTCAAAGATTACAGACAGGTGAGTGGCAGGGAGGGGGCTGGGCTCAGCCCGCATCCCCTGTGCCCAGCTCTGTTTCTGAGTGTGAGTGGCCCGCCCTGTCCTGCAGATGATCATCGAGCCCACCAGCCCCTGCCTTCTCCCAGACCCTCTGCGGGAGCCCTACTACCAGCCACCCTATACATTGGTCCTGGAGCTCACCGGGGTCCTCCTGCATCCGGAGTGGTCGGTGTGTCCTGCGGAAGGCAGTGGGTTGAGGTCCACTTGGGAGGCTGGGTGGGGGTGGGGGCCGGCCTCCCTCTGCTGTGTCCTCCCCTGCTGCCTTTGTGTCCTTTGATACCTACTTTAGCTTGTCAAGCACAAGTGTCTTGGCTTGGAGTAGATATGCCCCATGAGAGGCCCAGCCACATGCTCCCTACCCCCCAGGAGCAAGCAGAAGCCTGCTCGGGGACCCTCGGGCTAGGTCCTGACCCTTTGGACTGTCTGGTCTCAACACTCCCCTGTCCTCACTGGCTCTGCAGCTGGCCACTGGCTGGAGGTTTAAGAAGCGTCCAGGCATCGAGACGTTGTTCCAACAGCTGGCCCCTCTGTATGAAATCGTCATCTTCACATCAGAGACTGGCATGGTGAGCCCTGAGCCAGCAGTGACAGGTGGGTGAGCCGTGGCGCGGGGACCCAGCCTCACCGGCCTCTGTCCTTGCAGACTGCATTTCCACTCATCGACAGTGTGGACCCCCATGGCTTCATCTCCTACCGTCTGTTCCGGGACGCCACCAGATACATGGAAGGCCACCATGTGAAGGTGCCACGTGGGGGTCACAGTGCGCCTCTGGGATAGAGCTGGGGGTGTTCATACTGCCGGAAGGAAGGGGGCCCTGATTCTGATGTCGGGGTTTGCCTCCAGCGTGGGCGAGGGGTAGGGGCACAGGCTTTGTTTCTGGAGCTGTAAGTGGCGGCTCAGGACTGTCATAGAAACTGTTCCTAGACATCTAGGATGTTGTCCAGCCATGCATCTGGACATGTTGTCCAGGCCCCGCTAACTGTGTGTTGTTAGGTTCTCCTGTGTCTTGGTGACTCAAGGTTATGGCATTGCACAGTAGAACTCGGGCTTTGACAGGCGCCTTGTAATTCTTGGGTGGTGGTTGCCTTAGTTGTAGCCTGTCATGAACTTGGGGTAGGCATTGAACCCACCAGAGCCCATGTTCTCTCCAGAGACCCCTGGCTTAGGTGTCCATGTGACCACCTCCCGTTTCCTAGAAGCCTGAGGTCACCCTCCATAACCTGTATTCGGGAGACTCTGCAAGCCACGGCAGCCCCAAGAGTATGGTGCTGTGTCTGTCTGTGCCCTCTGTGATCAGCAGGAGGGGCACTGATGATTCCTGCTCCGTAACACCCACTTCCAGGACATCTCGTGTCTGAATCGGGACCCAGCCCGAGTAGTGGTCGTGGACTGCAAGAAGGAAGCTTTTCGGCTCCAGCCTTACAACGGTGTCGCCCTTCGGCCCTGGGACGGAAACTCCGATGACCGGGTCTTGCTGGACCTGTCTGCCTTCCTCAAGAGTGAGACTGACCCCTAGTGCCTGATGCAGAACCCTTGACCCTGAAGTCAGTGGCAGACGCCTGATTCTGACTTGTCATTGGTGTCTAACTGAACACGCAGGGTGGAGGAGACCTATGGGTATTGTGGAGTCTTCTGGGCCTTTCCGGAATGCCCAGGCATTCTGCTTAAGGGCCGTTTGGGCATGTTAGGAGCAGCCGCATCAGAGCATGGGACAGCATTGACAGTGTCCCAGGGCATGCTGACCTTGCCCCTGGGTGGCGCCAGGGCCTGATTAATAGCACCCTTCCCCATTGTGCCCGCAGCCATCGCACTGAACCAAGTGGAGGACGTCCGGACGGTTCTGGAGCACTACGCCCTGGAGGACGACCCACTGGAGGCTTTCAAACAGCGGCAGAGCCGGCTTGAGCAGGTCAGGCTCCACTCCCACAGTCACTTTGAAGGCTCCCGAAGAAGCGGGCGCTCTGCCGCTGGCGCTGTGTCTGCTGGTGTCTGTGACGGAGCACTGTCTCCGTCGCCAGTGGCTTCTAACGGGGGCTCTCACACAGCCTGCCTGGTGGCGGTGTTCTAAGGGTCTTACAGCCTGTGCTAAGCGGGAGACGGGACACAGTCAGCATGTGAGATACGTCCTTCATGGCCGAGGGTGGCTCCGGGTCTTTTGTGGTAGACTGGGTTGAGAGCTTGTCTCTAGTGATGCGTGCACACTTGGCGCCAGAGTCTGGGAAAGAGTCTTACTGGTGTTGCTGTGAGACAACCTCACATAGAGTTCAGGCTCTCCGTCCTTCTGCCTTGGTCTTCTGAATGCTGGGTTTGCAGGTCTTGCTTGACCACACCTGACGATACTGGCTGGTCACATTTGACTTTTTTTTTTTTAAAGATTTATTTATTTATTACATATACACCAGATTGAATTGTAGGTGGTTGTGAGCCACCATGTGGTTGCTGGGAATTGAACTCAAGACCTCTGGAAGAGCAGCCAGTGCTCTTAACCTCTGAGCCATCTCTCCAGCCCGCATTTGACTTTTTAAATCCTTCTTTCACTGGGCTGGGGTAGAGTAGTGCGTCTTGTGTGCTGGTCAAGCTCCCCTGGGTCTGAATCCTCCGTGTGGACTAGTGTCTATACTGGGCTGAGTCTAAAGGAAGGCAGGCTTTCATGTTGATGCTGACTCTCGTCTTTTTCTGTCCCTCAATCCCAGGAGGAGCAGCAGCGCCTGGCCGAGCTCTCCAAGTCCAACAAGCAGAGCCTCTTCTTCGGCTCACTCACCAGCCGCCTGTGGCCTCGCTCCAAGCAGCCCTGACTGCTAGGCTTCCTCAGACGTGGTGTCTGGGCCCTAGGCCCCAGTCCTCAGAGAGCAAGGCTTGGACGGCCACGTGTCCAATAAAGCGCATCCCAGATGCCACAATGCCTGTGTCCAGAGAGTCCAGATGGGGCGTTGGGGTGAGGCCGGGACTCAGGTCGTCATCCACAGGGACTGACCACCACCACCAGGCACAGAGAGTGCCTTGTTGGATCGGGGCTCTTGGCAGCCTGAGGAGCTGAGAGTCTGGGTTTCTGCTGGGCCATGTCTTCCCACTCTGTATAAGCTGCAAAGAAAAGCCTGTCTCTGGCTCTGGATTCCTTGTGTGCTATGGAAATAAAGAGAAGTGTGGCCTCTGGAGAGCCAGAAACGGCCCCATCTCAAGGGCTTAACTGCTGTGTGTGGCTCCTTGGGAAGGTACTCCGGGAGCTGTTCATACAACTCAGAAGGCGGGATTCCTTTTCTTTCTTTTTCTTTTTTTGGAGATACGGTCAGGTCTTTGTGTAGACCTAGCTGGTGTTGATGTCAGATCTGCCTGCTTCCAAGTGCTGGGATTAACGGGGTGCATAACTATGCTCCCCTGTTTTTTCTTCTTTTGAAAACTGGTTCTTATTACACCGCTCAGGCTAGCCTGGAATTCCTGAGTAGCTGGGACTGGAGGTGTGTACCACTGTGCCCTGCTAGAAATCAGGATTTCAATAGAACAAAACCCATTGGATAGATTTCTTTAGTTTCATTTCTTTATTATCTCAGTGGTCATATAACCAATCGTGCGTGTGTGCGTGCGTGCGTGCGTGCGTGCGTGTGTGTGCTATACGGGTCTTGGAGATGAACCTCCAGTCATTACTAAGTGGCAAGTTCTTTTCCCCTGCTGAGCCATTGTTCTGGGTTTTTTGTTGTTGTTTTCTTTTGTGGGATTTTGGTTTGTTGGTTTGAGACCGATCATACGTAGTTTTGGAGTGACTCTGTGGTAAAGGATGACCTTGAACTTCTGATCTCCCCTCTACCTCCTGAGTGCCAAGATTACAGATGTGCACCACCATTCCTAGTTGGTGTGGTCCTGGGGACCAGTCCACTCCATGCTAAGCAAGCATTCTACCCGCTGAGCCACCCCAGCCTCTTCGTTTAACAGCTGTGTGTGTCCACTAGCTTCTGCTTTGAACAGCACAGCTGTCCGGTGTTTAAGCATGTGAGTTCCAGTTCTGGGTTCAAATCCAAGGTCTTTGATTCCTTGGCTGGCTGTGGTTCTAGACAAGTTATTAGCCTCTCTAGAGATCAGTTTCTGCATCTCTAAACTAATAGTTCTTTTTAAGATTTATTTTTGTGGGGCTAGAGAGATGGCTCAGTGGTTAAGAGCACTGACTTTTCTTCCAGAGGTCCTGAGTTCAATTCCCAGCAACCACATGGTGGCTCACAACCACCTTGAATAAGATCTAGTGCTCTCTTCTGGCATGCAGACAGAAGACTGCATATACAACAAATAAATAAAATATTTTTTTAAAAAAGGATTTATATTTGAGGGCTGAAGAAATGGCTCAGCAGTTAAGAGCTCTGGCTGCTCTTCCAGAGGTCCTGAGTTCAATTCCCAGCACCCATATGGTGGCTCACAACCATCTATAATGGATCTGGTGCCCTCTTCTGGCATGCAGGTGTACACACAGGCAGAGCATTCAGACCAAAAAAAATTTACTTTTGATCTGAACCATGGTGGCACACACCTTTAATTCCAGCTCTTGGGAGGCAGAGGCAGGTGGATCTCTTGAGTTTGAGCACCACCTGGCCTTCAAAGTGAATTCCAGGACAGCCAGAGCTACAAGGGAAACCCTGTCTCGGGAAAGGAAGATTTGTTTTTTATTGTGTTTGTGTGTGAGCGCACACATGAGCATAGGTGGAGACCAGAAGTGTTCATCCAGTCCCGTGGAGCTGGGGTCCACTGTGAGCCGTCCAGCATGGTGCTGGAGCTGAATTTGGGTCATCTGGAAGAACAGACTGTGGATTGATCTGTTTGACCCCAACGATGGTTATTTTTTTTATATTCTGTATACAGATGGGTACTTAGTCAATGCACCATGTACTTACAGCCCTCATAGAGGCCGGAAAGGGCACTGGATCTCCTGAGGCTGTGAGCTGCCTTGTGAGTGCTGGTCATCTGGTGAGGCAGCAGTGTTTTTTTTTTTCCCCCGGGTTTTTTCGAGACAGGGTTTCTCTGTATTGTTTTGGAGGCTGTCCTGGAACTCGATCTGGAGACCAGGCTGGCCTCGAACTCACAGAGATCTGCCTGCCTCTCGAATGCTGGGATTAAAGGCGTGCGCAGCCAGTGTTCTTAACTGCAAAGCCATCTCCCCGGCCCCCAATAATAGTTCTTAGCAAATCCATAGGCTCTGGTGCAGGTGCCACAACCTTAGGCAAGGTTTCTTCCTGTCTAAAGTGTGCATTTTGTCTCTTCCCCAAGCTCTGCTCCAGCCAGCATCTAGTGTTGGCCCAGGTTAAACTATAGTGGTATTTTTATGAATTTGAAGTCGTGGACCAGCTTAGCCTCTGCACTCTAGACTGTTTAAATTTCCCTGGTGGTAGCATCGAGGGAAGGGTAGTTTCCATAGGGCTGTAATTTCAGCACTTCAGATAGACGTGGGAGAACAGATGAGTCTGAAGCGAGACAGAGCCTGTAGCAAGATTCAAAGAGAATTATAAGTAACGCCAGAATTCCCAGCCTGGGGAACTAGGCAGTACAGAGGAGTGCCCCACCTTGTCCTGAAGACTTCCTCCCTTTAATTTTCCTAAGACGGGGTTTCACCGGGCTGGAGAGATGACTCAGCCGTTACAAGGCTAGACTCACAAGCAAAAACATAAGACAGTTTCGCTGTGTGACTTGCTGGCCTGGAACTTGTTATGTAAACCAAGCTGGATAGCACCTCACAGGGAACAGCCTGCCTCTGCTTCAGTGCTGTGATTAAAGTTGGGCACCACATCTGGCTAAGATTCCTGGTTTTAAGGAATGCTTGCTTTTGCCCCTGGCGACCCCGGGTTGGAGGCTCTGTCTAAAGGAGCGGTGAGAGAGGAAGCTTGGTCCTGGGTGGAGTGGGTTATGGATGGAGGGGACTCGCCCAGGGGGCTTACCTGCTGGAGTACAGGGACACTGTTCCACGGAGCCCTCTGGGGAGGCCATTGTGTGTGTTTGAGGCAGTCTTGCTATGCAGCTCAAACGGTTTGACCTTGAGTGATCTTCCTGCCTCAGCCCGAGCACTGGGTTACAGCCATGTGTCACACACCCTTTTAGAATGGATTTGCAATGTGCCTTGAGTCTGTTTCCTGCAGCGTAAGGAAGACTTGTGTTTCCTCCATTGCCTGGAGATCAGGGCTCTGGTGCTCTGGGTACTGCCTGCTTCAGCATCCAGTGGGCCCATCGGGTCTCTCCCTTCACCATGGTGATAGCTGGACCCTGTGTCCTGTCCTCTCACACTGGTGGAGAGAATTGGGCATAGGAGCAGAAGTCCTCAGACAAAGCTCATAATGATGGGGCCTGGGAATTTAACCCCAAGTGCCCTGAGCTCAAGGACTACTTTGTTGTGGGGGCCATTTGTGTATAAACAGGCCCCTTCCCCACCCCCTGCCATGGGATCTGAAGTCCCCCTTGGGCAGGGGCTGAGCATCTTTCTCCTGGGAAGTCAGTTCCGGTTTCATGGCGCCTGTTGGCTTCAGTACTTGCTGGCACCAGCTGGTGATACACCGAATAAGGATGATGGCAGGCAATTCTCAGGGGCCTAAAGATAAAGATGAAAAGGAGTGCTAGGTGTAGGGACTGGGGATGGCTCAGAGGTTAAGAGCCCTGGCTGCTCTTCCAGAGGACCTGAGTTCAATTCCCAGCAACCACATGGTGGCTCACAAAACCATCTACAAGGGGGGAGCAGGGTAAACACACAAGCCTGTAATTCTAGCTACTCAGGAAACTAAGGCAGGAGGATGGGATGTTTTAAGCCAGCCTAGGTAACTTAGTGAGACCGTGTCTCAAAATATGGAAGAGCTGGGAGTATACCTCATGCCTTACGGGCATGAGGAATGGTCAATCTTTAGCACAGAAGGAAAGTGTGAAAGAGAGGAAACCAGTGAGAAGCAGTGGTTTGGGGCTTGGGGATGCTTTTTATGTATTTTACATTTTTATCTGCATGGGGGTAAGGTAGGTATGCACACTCCACGCCACCTGTGTGGTCAGAGGACAGCATTTGGGGTCAGTTCTTCCATCATGTAGGTCAGAGGGAGAAAACACAAGTCACTGCTCGGAGCACCTTGGCTAAGCCGCCAAACCAACCAGAAGATGTTGTTCTACATTAGATGGAATAACCTGGAAGGCCTCTTGGGGAAGTATGTGAGAGCACAGCCTGGAATGAGACAGAGGAAGCTACAGGGATGGCGGAGTGTGTGGGCACGGTCACCCCAGGGCCTTTTTTTTTTTTAAAGATTTATTTATTTATTACATATACACCTGATTGAATTGTAGATGGTTGTCAGCCACCATGTGGTTGCTGGGAATTGAACTCAAGACCTCTGGAAGAGCAGTCAGTGCTCTTAACCTCTGAGCCATCTCTCCAGCCCCCACCCCAGGGCCTTTGTCCTGCTGCACACTGTGTGTCCTTCCCGGGGTCCTCCCCGTGCTTCAGACCGTAGCGCAGCGTCACCTCAGCACTGCGTCCGTTTCAGAAGTCCCCTAACGTCTGCTGCTTGCATGGAAACACTGTCTTGCCTTGTGATCGTGTTTTCGGTGTTGGGGACTGGCTGAGCAAAGCCTGGTGTGGTGGGTCTTTGTGGTATGTGTTTATTGTCCAGGCTGGTCTCTTTCTCCTGATCGTCCTGCCGCTCCTCAGTGTTGGGATATAGAGGCCTGCCCCACCTGTCCACCCAGGGCTCTTTCTACTGAGTAATTCCTGAGCACGACTACAGTTGCCTCCCCTCCACAACACAAGCCTGGTTATCGGCGCAACCTGGGTCTTCCCTGCGATTATTAGCCCTGAGTATTCACTTACTGTTTACTGTGTGTTTTATGATGGATTTCCTCCATTTAAGCAACTTTGCTACCACCAAAACGCTATGACCAAAGACTGAGCATTTACACCCAAGTGGCTTTATTTGCCTGGATCCAGGAACTCTAAGGAGCTCCTGCCTCTCCCCGCACCCCCCCGGGGGGCTACATTCATCGGGGGTGGAGAGGGGGGCCCCTGGTGCCTGAAGACTCATTTCCTGCCCGTTTGCCCCTCACACCTTCCTGAGCCCAAACGGGAGGCCCAGCTGCGGCCCGCGGGGGAAGGGCGCGGCCGCCCGGCAGATGGCGACATTTACATACAGCTGGGAGGCCCCTCGGAGGCCAGGCTCCTGGCCTGGCGTCTGGTGAGTCTGGTGACGCTG